AACCCTGGTTCTTCATCCACTCTCTGTTATTTACACACCGGATGCTAGAAGATTTAATCATGTAAGGGACAGCACCATTTTGGAGCAAAGGATGTGAGTTTGTCCTGTTTGATTTCTTAGTACTTTAGTTTTAGTGGCATTTAGTGGTGAAGTTGCAGATTACAACCATTTGATCGGTCAACTGACTCAGCAGTTAATCAAGTCATCGTATCAGCACTGATCTAAATGTCCCTCATGTACAGTTCCATTGCTTTAGGAACATAGTCAGTGCGATTTCATTAAAGAGACTGTGTCTGCCGTTTGTGTTCTTGCAGTGAGAACATCAGATGGGCGAGGACAAGTCTAAGAACTCCACTCTATTCGTCTGGGTCAACTTTTGTAAAACTATTAGTCTGGGACAGGAGGTGTGGAAAAGTACAAAAGCAATTTGTTTAATTTTTTATGTTTGTGAGTAGCCACAAGTCTATTTAAGGTTTAGACTAATTGGTACAAGTGTGGCGCACAGCAAGGCATATGCTTCTTGACCGACTTTAGTATTGTTTTGTCAGACATTTGTTTTGTTATAATTTTAAAAAGAAATGGATGTATCCAACTTTAAGTTTTGACTTTTTATTTTAGGTTTTATTTTTTACACAAAGACAGTGAAGCAAACAACGAAGCCAGCCACGAGTAGAAAAACAGACCAAACAAACACCATCTCTCAGTGAAAATGTTGCAGTTTTTGTACTCTGATTTTCTGATTGCAGAAATGTAATGTAAATGCATGATGTTCCTTTGAAAGTTCATGGTTTTACGCTTAAAGGTGACAACTAACCAAATGATAGAAGGGAGTGTGTTTGCTTGAGTAACAACTTACCCTGTCAAGTTTAAAACATCGGCAGTTGCACAAACATTCAGTGGACATGTGGTGTTCTAGGATCTTATCTTTTAAGTTCCTCTCTTGATAAGACTGAAAAACTGCAGGTTCATTTTAATACAGTAAAAAACAACTTACCATCAGATACAATTTTCCATACTGACATCAGCAGCTTTGAAGAAGCTGTTAATTGAAAGACACATCATCTCAATGCACAAATTAAATAATAAGGTTATAAAGTTATATATGTGTGTGTTTTTTAAATTTGTACAATGTGGTGACACTTTATGCGCTAGCTCTCACACACTAGCATATTTGCAGTCGTGGTTATGATTCTGTATTTAGGGTGAAGTGCTGGTCTGACTAGCAATCAACCCAAAGGGTCTATCTTTGTATGTTTATGTTCTCTCTCACAGGACTCTTGTTAGGCATTATACTATAAACAGTTTTATATACATTTATATTGGCGGTAACACTGTGTGTGCAGTCTAAATAGATTTGTTTTTGTACAGATGAAGTCACTGTAAGTATTTGCTAAAAGAACACTATTTAAAAATGTCCAAATTGCCTCTACTTTTACCTCTTTAAATTAATTGGTTTTAAAGGTCTTATTATTTTACTCTCGTAAACTACTTTTTAAAGAGTGCAAAACAAATGTTTGCTTTGGCCTTCTTTCCCGTACATCTGTAAGTTTCCAAGTTTTTTCTTTTGTCTTTACACTGGACAAAAAGGCCCTTTATCGGGATATATTTTCCAGTCTGTAATCCTCTGCGTACTGTCCATATCTTTGACAAATACAAATGTTTAACTATCTTGGATACCTATAGTTTAAAACCTAGTTGTAATTAGTGTACCTTAGTTTTACAGTCCAATGCAGTTTCAAATACACAAGTAAAGTAAAAAGCTTGCTTACCTCTTAAAAGTGTGTGTGGACCGCTGGAGTGGATTCAGTCAGACTGTGTGTTGTCTCCCTTACAACGCAGGTTTATATCTCCCCTGCTATCACTGAGCTCAGCACACACACACACACCCACCCAAACACACATAATGGTACATTCATTCATAGACACACACTCAAACAGAGTCCCTCCCTTTTTTTTCTTTTCTTTCATTCCTTCCTTTACTAGTG